CAAAGGAATAATAGAACAAAACCAAATGTCTGTCAACTGGGACCTGGGTCAAAACTGGCATATCTACACTCAGTGCAAATGGTAGCCACTGTCTAGACTGCAACGTGGAAGGTTGTCAGTATTGTGTTAAGAAAAGGAACTCCGACGGGCGGTGGTGATGCACGCCTTTAATCCCAGCACTCGGAGGCAGAGGCAGGTGGAGCTCTGTGAGTTCGAGGCCAATCTGGTCTACAAAGTTCCAGGAAAGGTGCAAAGCTCCACAGAGAAACCCTGTCTCAAAAAACCAAAAAAAAAAAATAAAAAAAAATAAAAAATAAAAAATAAAAAAAAAAAACGAAAGAAAGAAAGAAAGGAAGAAAGAAAAGAAAAGGAACTCCAACTCAAGTGAGGCTGCATGGTTCTATTTTCAGATCAGAAAATCTGAGCCAGGTGTGGTCGCAAATACCTCTAATCAGTACAGTTGGGAAACAGGCAGGCAGATCTCTGTGAGTTTGAGGCTAGCCTTGTCTACATAGCAAGTTATGGGACAGTCAGGACTGCATAGAGACCTGCTGCTGTGAGGGCCAGTCTTCAGCAGCTCAGGAGTTGAGGGGAGCCAGAGAGTCAGTGAACTAATCACTCACTTTGACTTTTCTATCTAAGGGAGTAAAACTTAATTCACTGGGGCTGGTGAATGGGGCAAAACTTAACTCTCTGGGGCCAGTGAGAAAGGGAAACATGCACACACACATACACACACACTTTCAGGGTCTTTCTATCATCTCTCTTTTCTTAATTCTAGCCAGGTGTTTCCCTTCTGTGTGTCATTAATTTTTTCCTTACAGCTTATGTACCCCAATAAAATCTTTCAAGCAATATAAAAATTACAGTGCAGTTACATTCTATTTTTCAAGTGAACAATTACAATGAATACAAGTAAAAAAACATCATTTTTCTATATCCCTTACATGATTAAACATTTTATGTATTACAGGTGAAAAACAAATTATTCCCAAGAACCCACATACATGCATGTCTAAGCAGCTTGTTATATATTAACAAAGTATAAGCAAGAAGGAAGGTATTTTTCTCAACCAGTTGTTTACTGGCAGGCTGCATTTTGCAGTTACAAAGAAAGGATCAATCACTTTATTATTTATCTCAAAAGGTAATCTTATTAAAAAAAATCTTAAAATAATCACAAATCTAAACTTTTATATATGAAAACCATCAGTCAGATCTATTTTAAATCCTCAGGGTGCATACCCACTCATCAACAGTTTTTTATATCAGGAAGCTGAGGACAGAAATGGGTACAAGGAATTAATCATCACCTTTGATCACCAACCCATCCTAGCAAGAAAGGCACATCAGCTAATAATAACAGGGCTATCTTTGTTCTTGTTTCTTGACCTCAACAAGTCCCTAATTCAATTATGTGCCTTTCTAAACTTTAAATTGTTCCCCAAGGTTTTGTACCTCAAAGCCATTAACAAAAACATCTTAATCTAACCTTGTCATTATTTAAAGCTTTGTTTTTGCTATGATGCACACCAAAACCCATGAATACATCTCCCAATATTAAGATTAAAAGAACTTGAGCTAGCCTACCCTCTGGGACACAACTGTTTTTCTTAATCATTAAACTAAGCCACAGTCTATATGACTCCTCAAGAGAAACCAGTAAGTCCTAGCTGCATGACACTTCCTTGTTCTTATTTTCTATTCTCTGCAGCCTCTGCTTCATCAGGAGCAGGGCAGTGCTATATCCTATCTTCACCTATATTAATTTTCCCACTAAACTAACCTCTATCATAATCCCTTACTATATTTATTAAAAATCTTTAATCATCAAATTTCTGTTTATACTAACATTATTATTGTATAAAATTATTACTTCAATTAAACAGTACAGCTTAAGAAGAAATTATCTTCATAATAATCCACAGGTAAAAATGCCCAGTAGAACAGGATATTTCCATGAAGTAATCACACCATATTAAAGGCAGTGGGGATCCCCCAACACCCATTCACACCCTGCCAGATACCAGAGAAAAATGGTAGTGGCAGACATGTAAAGGCACAACAGTAGCAAGAGACATTCTGGAGCAAAGACCTTGAGGCCTTACCTATGTACAGAAGGATTATTATTACAATATTATTATTATTATTACAGCACTAAACAACAACAGCAAAAAATAAAATTGAAAATCTGGAGGTTGGAATTTAGCTCACATGGTAGAGTGCTTACCTAGCATGTTTGAGGTTCTGGGTTCAGTCTACCACCATGTAGTACCTATAATCCCAGCACTGAAGAGGTAGAGGTAGGTATTGCAGCCTGGAGTGCCAGCCTCTAAGCAGCACAGGGCTAGAAGGGAAATCCACAGTGTCGGCATAGCTAAGATTTTTCTATCTGGGGTGGGCGGTGGGGAAAAAAGACACTCACACACTCTCCTGATGGGTTATTCTCCTCTCATGTTGTTCTTCCTTGTTCTCTCTCCCTCCACTGCTTATATACCCCAACAAAATCTTTCAGGCAATACAAGTCATAAAGGGGTTATATTTCATTTCTCCAGTGAATGATTATAGGTAAAGACATGGTTTTTTTTAATCTCCCTAACAAGATTAAAAACAGAGTTATCCCGACAGCTCACATGCAGTACATCTAAGCAGCTTGTCACAGAATAACAGATCATGAGTAAGCAAGAAGCACATTTTCTCAATCAACCCTTTTGTTGGCAGGCGGCAAAGAAAGAATCAATTACTTTATTATCTATCTTGAGAAGTATCTTATAAGGAATTTTTAAAGGAATCACAAACCTAAACTTCTGAAGAGCCCAAGAAAATGAGAAAATTATGTATTTGTAACCTATACTTCTGAGTGTATTGGCCGCCTAGACCTTTTGCCCTGTATTCTCCCAGGCAGGGTAAAGGCAAGTCAAACTAACTCACAACTATGTAAACATTTTGAACTAACACCCTATAATCAGAAGTTGTAAATCTTGCATTCTCTTTGGATCTCAGAGGTATCTGGAGAGTGCTTAGTCTCAAGAGATGGGGATGCCTGGAATGTCATGAATCCTTTAATTCAGGCTCAAGTCAATGTTCCTGATGTACTGTAAATCTCTTAGCATCAGCTGCAGTTGGCATTTCCAAGATACTGTGGCACCACGATGCTTTAAATCTCAAAATGTACTTTCTGCCCTGTGTGTGACCCCACCCCCACCCCACCCCACCCCCACCCCCCGACCACAAAAAGAAACCTGCAGCTCCCTTTTTTGGGTCTATAGAGTCAATTTATTCTCTGTAGTCCTGACTAGTCAGAATTTCCTTCTTTTCCATGGTGTCCCTGAACAAAAGTTGCTTTTGTTTGTAGACTTCAGTGTTCTACTTTCTGGTGTTCTACTCCCTGTTACTTGCAAAATACCTGGACCCAACATTTATATAGATAAAAAACAGTCGGCTGAACTTTGAATCTACAGGGTGCATACCCATATCAGCAAATTGAAGTCAGGAATGGGTGCCAGGAAGTAATCACCCATCAGCCAGCAATAATTGGGTTGTTTTACGACTCTAGCCTAAATTAATCAAACAGCTTAGCTATGTGTCCTTGGGAACTATAGATTGTTTTTCTGAGATAGTTTATCTTAAAAACCATTAGCAAGGCATCTGGTCTAATCTAAAGTTATTTTGAAGCTTTGTTTCAGCTAATGGTGCACATCAAAACCTGTGACTACATCTTTTCAGCATTAAGAGAATTAGAGCCAGCCTGGCTCCTGGGGAGAAATCAGTTGCTTTCCTTAATCATAAACCTGAGCTGTGATCAAAAGCAACTCCTAGGTGCAATTCATAGGCCTTAGCTATGAAGCATATCCTTTTGTCTATTTTTTTCATTAAAACTGTATAAGCTAACATTGTTTTATCAGTTAGACAGTACAGCTTTAGGGAGGAATCATCTTCTTGACAATCCACAGATAAAAATGCCCAATAGATCAGGATATTTTTATGAGATAAACATACAACATTACAGGCAGTGAGGGTATTCCCACATTCACTGGTCAGATACCAGGGAAAGATTGTATCAGCAAACACATAAAAGCACAGCAGAAGCAAAAGACATTCTGGAGTCTGTGATCTCATAGCCTTGCTTAAAATGAGATTGACCCATCAGAGAGTTTTCATCCTGGTGGGATGACACCTTGAACTTCAATTGCCACCTGCTGCTCCTCTGACATGGTCACTGACAGAGAAAAGGATTAGAAGTTCACTGTCATCATTGGTTATATAACAAGTTCAAGGTCAGCCTGGGCTATATGCGACCATGTATTTAAAAGAGTAGGAGGAGATGGGAATCTGGAAAAGGCAAAACTATATGGACAGAGAAGCCTGTTGTTGCCAGTACCTGTGGTGAAAAGGAAGCCTTTACTATAAGGTATATAGGTGTCTGAAAGGGTTAGAAATGGTCTATATCATTACTTCAGTGGTGATTACATGAATGTATAAATTTGTCAACATTCACCATGTTGTACACATTTAAAATTGGTGATGGTTATTGTATAAGTTATGCTTCAAATAAAAACAATGGATAAACATACCCAAGGGTCTCACCTTGAGTTCCATTTCACCTGGGGAAGTAGCCTTTTAACCTTCTCATTTGGAAAGTCTTGGGGGGGGGATTTTTAAAATTATGTTTATTTATTATTTACTTATTATTTTGTGTTGTATGTGAGTACATATATGGAACTCAAGGTCACTTGTAGGAGTCTCTTCTCTCTTTTACTGGGTAGGTCCCTGGAACTGAACTCAGTTTTTCATGTGTGGTGGCAAACATCTTTATCCACTGAACCATCTTACTAGCCCTGGAAAAGCTTATTGTTAACAAGATACTAATGGTTTCTGTTTTTATGGTGACCCTTTAAAATGAGGATCCCTAAACTGTGTTTTCATGGAACAGTAAATGATCCACTTGTTTTATGATCTCATTGCATTTTTGCCTTTTCTTTACCTCTTTCCCAACCTAGAAAAACTAATTGAGGGACTCAAATCTCCTGATACTTCTCTTCTGCTCCCTGACCTCTTGCCTATGACAGATCCTTTTGGCAGCACTTCCGATGCTGTGATTGGTAAAATCCCTGTCTTTTTCTTCAGTCTTCTGTTATATGTGTGTGTGGTGGTGGGGTAACTCTGGCATGGGGAGGGGGTAGAGGGCAGAAGTGCCCTGATGCTCTGTAGCTCTTGTGCATGGTTTGAAGCCAGCAGTCAAGGCTGTTAACTCTGTTTATGCTAGTACAAATGAAGTGTCTTTTTTTGCTTTCCATGTATACAACCTCTAACTCTAGTCTTTACTGATGTCCTGTGATTTATCCAGTAAATTTCTTATGAATAAGGAAGAATATGGGGAAACAAAACTTTTGTGAAAACAGTCAGTTTCTAGTTGGCCCTGAGAGCTTCACTAAACTTAATAGACTTAGGCTGATTCTTCTTAAAAGGTCAATGCTTGTAACAAATACCCATACCAGGAAGTCTGCCTAGCAGTTCAGCCCCATGATAGACCAGGGCAATGGCTTGGTCTGCTTTACTCTTAATATTTTTTATGCTATATAAGCAAAAAGTATAAACTGACTCCTGAAAGGTTTAGTCACTAGACTTTAGACAAGAAATGCTGGCACTAAGGAATGCCATGGCCTCACAGAAAGATAGGCCTCTGTTTGTGAGATATCACAATGCGCAGAGCACTTCCTGCTACATCATGGGATAGGTGGGGTACATTTGAAGGTTGTGCATTAGATTGGAGGATGTTTACCCCAAGTCTGGCCCATTGAAAGGGAAAAATTGCCCAAACTAATTTTGAATGAAGCTGTTTTGGTCATCATTGGCTTTTTGAAGTAGGGCATCACTGTGTAGCCTGGCTGGCCTCAAACTCATGGAAGTCCTCTTGTCTTAACCTCTGTAGTTGTTGGATTACAGGTGTGGGCCACCATTGCCTGTCTTGAAGCTGATCTTTTCTGACATGGAAGAATTTGCTGTTTGAAAGTTGCTTGTCTCCCACACTTATTCATAGGACCTGGTGATCATTGCACTTTCCTGGTAGTTAGCCTTGTACATGCATGCTCTGTCATCGAAGCCTAGGCAGCAGCAGAAATAAGTCACAGGCTGTGCTCTGCAGCTTGTCCGAGACTTGTGGAAGCAAGCCTCCATGGGTTTTCCTGAGCAGCATCTGACTTCTTCCTTTTCTTACCCTTTCCTCTCCACTGTTAATACCCTTGATACAAAAGAAAAGGCCGATGTTGCTGTTGAGAGTCTCATACCCGGACTGGAGCCGCCTGTTGCCCAGCGCCTCCCATCTCAGACGGAGTCTGTGACCTCGAACCGCACAGGTCAGTCAGGGTCCATGTAGCTGCAGAGCTGGTTAGTGCAGTAGCCTCAGGGCTTCCCACCTGTGACAGGTGAACCTCTTTTTATTTGCATTCTGGTTGTTTTTACAATGGATGCTATGAGTTGTTCTTACAGGCCTGGCTTCTAGATGTTGAGTATGTCCTTGTGCTAAAGAACTGAGTACTTTTTGGAGCCATGTTTTTCTTAAGAGTGACTCCTGGGCTTGCTCTGATTACAGAATTTTATTATTCGATATTCTTTTCCCAGCCCTGGGGATATAGTTCAGTGACAGAGTGCTTGACTATCAATCAATCCCCAACACCAGGAAGAAAAAGAAAAAAAGATCATCTTCACTGGTGGCAGGTTCCCTCTACCTCTTTAACACAAATCTGCTCAGATAAATGGCTGCTGTAATTCTTCCAGCTATTACGCAGACATGTCCTCCACTTCACCGAATGCAGTACTGGCATCTGGATCTATGGAACTCATCTCCTGCTGTTGATACTCTTTTCTAGATCAGGGCTTCACCATCTAGAGGTGATTTTCCTTTCACTTTAGGCAGAATTGAAATCGGTCTTGGATCCAGTATTGCTTTTGCTCTTACTTGAAAATTTCAGTCTTTGTACAAGTCATTAGCCACACACAAACAAATCTGATTGCATTCATTTTAGTGAGTCCTAATTACCTTGATAAGATTGTCTGATTGTCTGCCTTAGGGAGATAACAAACTAATGCTTATAGGGAAAAAAATCACCCCAAAGGCAATGTGGTTCCTCTTATTTTCACTCATTTGGATGTTTCCTCCCAGGAAACACTCCCTGCTCAAATGCTTCATCTCTGAATTTTACCTCCCCTAATTCTTGACATGAAAGAATACACTATGTTCAAAGGAGAATTCACATTTAAAGAATAATAAGAAAGAGGCATTTTGAATGGCAACCTGGGAGTATCATGGAGGGTTCCTTCTTGAGAGTTTCAGCACTTCACTTAGTAGTAACTTTCTTCCTGAGTGGGGAAAAGTTAAGTGAAACTCTAGTTACAAAGTCCTTTTTCCAAATGGTATTTGCTGAGAACTGGGTTGTTAAGTTGTATTGACATTTGAATCACAAACTTGTTTGAACAGCAGTTCCTGAGCTCAAAATCTTACATCTATGTTTACTACCAAATAGAGTCTAGGATATATGTTTTTGTGGTTAGAAGTTCAGAGAGCTTAACATGTTTCTTTTGATGTTTCTTTCTGCACCTTGGCTTGTACATATGGCCTGTAAATACAATAATTTAAAAGTCAAGATGTAACCTCACAATATTGTTGTGTGCTGTTTAATGCCGCCATTGCGGGGGATGCTGGTAACTGGACTCAGACTCTCTCCCTGGGGAAGACTCTCTGCTTGACTGCGCTCTGCTTTCTAACCCCACTGCTGACCTTCTGGAAGAGTTCGCCCCTATGGCACTCTCTGCCCCCGCTCATAAAGGTAAAGTCTTTTTTGGGCCCACATGTGTCCTGGGGAGTTCCCTTACCAAAATCTTCGTCGGTAAAGTGTTCAAGCTGTCCATTTCTATGGAAAAATGGCTTTGTATCCTTAGCCACTGTTGCAGTTCTTCTCTGAGTAGTTAATAAGCCCTAACAACTACAGAGAGGTGCAGAGATCACTTTCTGACAAGAACTAGGATACAGATGGTCCATGTTACCTTGGAGAGCCACGTGCCTTTAGGGGCAACCACATAGACGGGTCAGCCAACTGATCGATCTTGATTATTAATATGACCTTAGAAAGTAAAGTCATTTCATCAAATCTGATTCAAGGTTTTTGAATGTAAAGAAACACAACCCTCAGAAATCATTCCTCAAAAATTGAACTTGTGAAAGTTTTGAATATTATTTCGCCTTTGAGTCATAATTGATTACTGAGTTTCTCACTCTAACTGCCATTTTCACTTCTTAGTCTTGGCATGGTCTGGTTTGAGCTTTTTCTGGCAGAGTAGCTTGGGTTGGGTCCTGAGGTCTGTTGTGGGGATAGCTTGCTTGCATATGGCAAGCTTATTTCTGTGTTTAAGGAGTATTAGAAAAGGAACAGGTTAAGCCCTTTCCAAAGGAAATTCAAGAAGAAAGCCTCCAGAGATGACTAAAAACAATGAGCTCATGGGTAGCAGCAATGATAGCTGGGTTTGTTTTACAGCTGGCACAGGAAGTTACCGGTATAGACACCGATGGCTGGCAGGAGTCTGTTGGTAGCAATGTGTAACCATAAAGAAGCATTGTCTGCCAAATAAGTGCTCAGCTAGCATTTGCTGGGGGGGGGGTATAGAATTTAGAATAAGTAGTCTCAAACAAAACAAAACAAAAGAGCAACCACCACTAAAAAAAATGGGGGAGGAAGGTTGTCTAAGAAACTTATGCTGGTAGTCTTTTGTACCCCAGTATTCTGAGTTATTTAAAAGTCTTTTTTCACAGAGAGGGAGTCTTGGCATTTTGCTTGCCTTGTACATATTGGTTACTTCTCGTCCGTTGTTGGTTTTGGGTCATGGGTCAAACTCAGGACCTTGCACTTGCTAAGGCACACTCTGCCACTGAACCGTGCCCCAGCCTTTTAGTGTTTGAGGTGGTGTTAGTCAGGCCTCTGTTAATTCAATACAGATAGTGCACATTTCAGAGAGAACTTCACAACTGGAATTATTGTCTTCTGCAGAGTAGAGAATTCTTCTAAGAGCCCATTTCTTAACCATTTATGAAATCTTAACATTGTAAATTCTAAAAGTTTTTACTTCTATATACCTGTGTTTTCCAGCTTTACTTTTATTTCAACTCAGAATAATAAGTATTTTCACCTTTCAGAACAGTGATTGTTCATAGTTGAAGGCTTGGAGCCTCTTTCCTGTTCTCTCCTTGGCTAATCTCTTCTTCTGTTGTTTCTGCTTGTGTGCTTGCATTCTGTATTAAGCTGCAGAAGATAGTAACCTCATCTCAGGTTTCGGTGCCGCTGAGGGCTCGGAAAAGGTGGCAGAAGATGAGTTTGACCCTATTCCTGTACTGATAACCAAAAACACACAAGGTAAGAGAGAGGCTGGAGGAAAGAGAAGAGCTTGACATCGGTTCTCATCACAACACTGTCCTTAGCCTGCATGGTGGGTGGGAGCATCGCCATTTGGTGAAGGACACTGGGTGATGACAGTCAGTGTAGGCTGGACCCATAGGAGAGGCAGGTGGAGATGCTGATCTATGTAGCTTAAAACCTCATTGATTTAGGGTTTATTTAGAGAAGAGTTAGTACTTATGAAATGTCAAGCCAAAAAGAAAGTGTTCTCTAGTTGGTAGAGGCCTGAAGGTATATGTCAGAAGTGTTGAACATTTTTATCATAATTAGAAAATCTGTAATAGATGTTCTTCCAAGAGAGCTAACAGTGGTATTTTGCTGTATGCTACATCAGTAGACTTTATGGACCATTCTTTTCCTCTTTGGTGGATTGAATCATTTGAGCATGCACAAAACACTAAAACACATCACCTATTTATTTTTAAAAGCATGTTCTTATTGCAGTATCCTAATAACGAATTCTCCCCAAAGCAGAAATTGATCTGTACTTTATAGGGAGATGGCTTGCTGTTGGTAGGCTAGTAGACAGCCAGAACTTGTTAGGCAAACGAGTTGGTTTGGCCAGTGGTATCTTTGCAGTGTCCTGCCTCTACTACTGTGGTGTGCATGGAGTGAACTTCTGGTGGGAGGTGGTGGCTGGTCAATGGCTATGTTTAGAAATCAACATGTAAGACTTTTTAAATGTGAAATGTTGCTTCTCTGGATTTCTTTGTTTTTCTTTTTCTCCTTTGCTTGCTCTGCACATCTAACCCTAACCCTCTGTGTTTTGTACTGAATCCTATCTTTCCACTTCCAGGTGGGCACTCTAGAAACAGCAGTGGGAGCTCTGAGTCCAGTCTTCCCAACCTAGCCAGGTCTTTGCTGCTGGTGGATCAGCTCATAGACCTGTAGCCGTGAGCCAGTAGCAGACGCAGTTCTGTAACCTTCATGCCCTAATACACATTTTCATTACGGAGTTATGAGAGAAATGATTGTTTTAAATCTGCAAATAAGGGGCCCTCAAGCCCCTTTCTCCTACCCCTTGCCTTCTCCTATAGAAATGATAAGGAAGAAAAATCTCTGACCCTCCAGATCCGTTCCTTGGCCAACTCTTCTCGTTAGTTTGCTGTGTTTTCTCATTCCCCATCTTCAATAGCATTACCTTAACTCAAGCGCTAGCTGCCCTGAGCTTCACCTCTGCTGGAATCCACTCACAGAAGCTTGACTGTCATTGAGCTTATGACGGACACTTTGTCTCATTCTTGCTAGGAATTGCCCCATGACAGTCCTACATGGCCTGTCTCCCAGATGCTGATGAATGTGTGTCCATTCTTGCTTTTTATCCTGGTGCAGTATCATGAGGCTATGGCAGCTATGGCTGGTCTTATCCCCAGGCAATAGTCTGGAGACAGGTGTGCAGTTTAAACAGGGCAAAACTAATAGGATATGTTTATGAAGAGAAATTGGGCTCAGCTCTAGCCAGCTAACTTGGACCTTGTTTGGTAATTGACTGAGCCAAGGGATCTTACACCCATGCGACCTTCCCAGCTATCTAGTTTGTCTAGCTCTCTGGCTTCCGTTGAATTGTGATTTCTCAAATCTGGAGGCGTGACTGCAAGTGCTTGAGATCCTTGAATATATACGTATGTGATATAAATACCAAGCATTGCTACCCTCCCATGTTACCTGGCCCAAGCTGGGATCCCAGAATTAGACCAAAACAAGACAGTGGTGGGAACATGATACCTTTTACTAGAAGACTTTTCATGGGGGGTGGATGGGGAAGGGAAGGAATTGTAGCAGAAACAGATGTATTTTTCTTGTGATTTTTTTATTTTGAATCAAATATTGTAAATTGTGTATAAATGAAGATGCTGAACAGTTCTGTTTCCACTTGGCATTTCCAGTCTGACATCAGGTGTCTGTACAGGGTTTTGATCTCTTCGCTTGTATAACCACATAGCAGTCCTACAGTGTAACATGGAACTGTTTTAGTAGAGTGTATGTCTTGCTCTAAGCTTTCACCAGGCCTTTGTCTCTGTAGAACAAGCATGTTGTTTGTTTTCAGATAATCAGAAATAAGTGTGCTGGGCCCAGTTTGACTGTGGCGGCTTCCCTTCTCTCTGGTGTTGAAATAGACGGCTGAAGCCGATGGAGTGTGTGCTGCTGCCTTCCTTGGCTTCCTAGAGTGAAAAGACCAAACTAAGAGTAGCTCTCCACTAACCTTAGACTGTTGTTCATAGATTTCCATAAAGACCCTGCCCTCGCCCTACAACATGCTCTCCCAGTCACCCTCTGTGTACTTACTCACCAAGGTGTGTTCCATTGCCATGTGTGGAGAGCACTTTTGTGAAATCACCCTTTAGAAGAGGAGTGGGCACAGAGCCCCTTCCTCCAGTGCCATCCTCGGGGTTGGAAGGGAACCGCTTAGGTTTGTCAGATTGGTACAAATAAAACCCCAGATCTATTTGCTTGTTCTCTCCTACTACTTTGTTTCTTGCTCACATTTGCACTTTAAGTGGTGGGGAACCAGCAGCAGCAGCAGCAGCAGCAGCAGCAGCAGGAGCCTGCAAGCACTGCCCTCTGGAGGGCCACCGTTGTCTCCAGCAATGGGACAGCAGGAGGAGTGGACACTCAGTCTGCCTTCCCACTTAAAATCCTTCCTGGGCCAGCGGAACCTGAAGGAGCTGAGGAAAGGCCTCCGCTAGAAGAGATGGTTTCCACAGGTGAGCGAGGCACGGTGTGCAGCGAGGATGGAGGAGGAGATGCCACGAAGAGCTTGCCACAAGTGGGCTGCAGGGAAGCAGGACTTGGTTAACCCCTTGGTGGACAGGAAATGGTTGTGTCCTCTTTCCTGGACATAGAATGTATAAACTAATGAAGGAAATGTTTATTTTTAAATAAGGCTAATGTTTTAGGTCTGTGTTTTCATATTTGTTTTTTTCCTCATGAAAACGTTAGCAATATAATGAAATGTCTTCTTTCTCAGTTTAATTGCAGCTATGAAGAGTGCAGTCTAGAAATTAGGTTAAGTGTCTCTAAACCACTTCCTCATGTGTCACCCAGAATTACACTGAGATCTATTGTGTAGTCATTTGGCTCAGTAAGGCTTAATGGAGACGCTAATGAAAGTGAACAGACTGTCACCAGGGAAGATGGTAAAGCCTGGGTGAGAGAACAACAAGAGACCTAGGCTGGTCCTTCAGGAGTAAAGCGTGGGCGGGCAAAGCTACCTTTCTATGGAGAAATACATTCTAGTGACTGGGCCAGCACAGCCTTCCTTTGTATCATCCTAAGCTGAGGGAGTGGCTTGAGAAGAGTATGATGTGTGGTAACTGGAGATGCACAGGACAAGACTGAATTATATGAGGGCTGCAGAGACTGTCCACTAGTCCATTTACTTCATCTCACTGGTGTGGACCTGACTGATGAAGGCAGGCTGTTAAGAAAAGGGGCCGGGGCAACTCAGCCTTCTGGGAACTCATCTAGACCCTGGCTTATGACCTTGAACAGGCATTTTATGCCTCAGAACTGCTGTTGGATTTTTACACAGGATGGGTTTGGATAGAGGATGTGTGAGACAGTAGACCATAGCATTGTTGTGCTGTTGTATTTAGAAGGACTATGAAGGATCATATAATCTGGATGTCCTTCAGGTAACTTCTATGCTCTTGCCATTCCTACAGCTTTCTTCAGCATTTACTAACAGAGGATTAGAATGAGCAATATTAATCTTGTTGCTACTTGCTGGTTACCTGACTAAAAGCCCGCATCATCGGAAGCTTGGAGATAGATTTCCCTTCTGTAATATTAAGCACACACAACCTTACCTATTACAGTAAAACAGAATCCAGAGACTTCTATTATTTCAATCTGTGTAATCTGGGATTTGCCATTAAAATATGGGCAAATACAATGTACACATTTTTTTTATTTGATCTTCTTTCTGCTGAGTGGAAGTAATTACTGTACCAGAAAGTATCACAAATTGGTATTTCCCCCAGATAACCAAATTTAATTCCCAAAGTTTCTAAAAATAAGGTCCTCAGAGGAGATGAGGTTTAAGTGGTCCCTTCTAAGTAGTATTGTAATGGTTACAGTGATTTCTGAAGTAGACAGATCAGAAATGTTTCATGTGCTTGATTGTTCCCTCTGGAAGCATCTGATTTTGCTTGGGAAGTGAATGCGAACCCTAGCCAGTGTCAGCTGAGTCGTTCTTAAACTCTTGTCCTTAGACATAACATCTCCAGAAAGGCAGCAAGAATATGGCTGTGTTTTCTCAGTAGCCTCACTTGCAGCATCCACAAGTCTTATGTTTTTTCTCTGACACCTCTGCCTCTGAGTAACACTGAGTATTCCAAAATGCAGAACCATTCTGATAAGATGAAGACTTTGAAACCCCACAGGCACTTCCTAGAGAAGACTTCCTAGCTGAGAGAGATTCCCCAGCACTGAGACAGGGAGGTTTGTAGTCCTCTGGTCTTTAGGAAACTTAAAGATGCAGGCTTTAAACCCCTCTGACAGAGGTTGTCACTCTGCTCGTAGGCATTTCACCTTGGACTTGGCTCCTGCTGATCAGATTGGAATTCTAGAACTTGGATTTCTAATAATTGGAAGAAAACAAACCCAAAAGGGAATCTGTTTTTCTTAAGATGTGATATTTTTGTGATTTGCAATTCTCATTTCCCGAGGAGTGTTTGTTTTGATTCAGACCAATAGAGTCTTCCCCCAGGCCAGCGTTAGTTTTGCCTCCAGCAGTGCCCTGGGAATGAGGAGACCTTTGCGATGGGGATGGCAGTCTGTGCTCAGTGAACAAATGATGCTGGAGACACCTTGGGTCAAGCTAATGTCTCCTGTGACAAGGTTCCTCTGGCATCAAGCGTCTTTACCCTTCCTGGTCTGCAGGATGACTGCATTCTGTTGCCCCTGACATGGAGTTTGGGGATGTGAATGACAGCATCACCCAGAACAGAGTTAAGCAAATCAGAGGCTGCCTGACAGAATGTTTAGAGTGGAGTGTTTAGTGAAACACTTCAGATACTGCAAGCTAATTTATATCCCTCTCTAGAGACCAATTTTACCAGTGCAAAAATTAGACCTTTCCATTCCACAATGATAATGTTCCCCAAGTTGGATGTGCTTGGCTTTTGTGAACTGAATGAATCCCAGATGGCCTCCATTTCAGTCTGTAACAAGATATCCTATGTACTTTCCCCTGGGTTTCCTTTCACTAAGTGGGAGGGAGGAGGCCTGAAGGCTGCTTGGGTAATGTTAACTCATGCATAGTTCCCAAAGGGTGACAGTTGCTAGAAGGGAAGGCCTTCTTGGTTCTCACTTTGATGCAGTGTCCTGAATTCATGTCTGTGGGTATTCTCTTCTGCCTTGTTGTACATGCCTTTGTCACCTGGATGGATTCTTACCTTAGGTCTTTAACTTGTCTTCCCCAGGGAAGCAAAGCAAAATGATGTAATGAAGCTATCTTGTGCAGTAAAATGTGAAAAATGAACACTGCTTTGCAAGTATTGTATAAATAAGTCTGTAAACAAATTTCTTATGTAAACATACAGAGGAATAAAGCTTTTATCTGTTCAAATGAGTGCATGATGTTTAGATATATAAATAGCTTAAGGTAGCTGTTATATTACTCCAGAAGGACTTGAGCACATATTCAGTGGCTGCAAATACCAGTGGACAAGAAAAGTATGGGCAACTGTGCAAGATGTCCTGAGGAAGGTTCAGTGAGTGCACACCTGTGCAAGAGGTCCTGAGAAAGGTTCAGTGAGTGCACACCTGTGCAAGAGGTCTGAGGAAGGTTCAGTGAGTGCACACCTGTGCAAGAGATCCTGAGGAAGGTTCAGTGAATGCACACCTGTGCAAGAGGTCCTGAGGAAGGTTCAGTGAGTGCACACCTGTGCAAGAGGTCCTGAGGAAGGTATATTTAGTGGATACCTGTGAGTTATGCCTAGGTTTAGTGAGTTATGATGACCCTTATGGTCAAGAATGAGAAACCTGAAAACACACATTAGCCAGGACCATACTTAAGTGATAAAACCAATTTGCAGCTGATCTCCTCTAATTTAGTCTTTAATACAGCCAGGCCAATTGAATTAAACACTAGGATGGCAAGAATATGTTTATGCCCAGTGAGAAATGGCTCTCCTTAATTACTTCTGGCATCCGGCTGTGGGCTTTCCTGCTGCTGCCTAACATAGGGGAGAGCAAAATGCTAAAGTTCATGATGGGTGTGGGAACTACAGGCTCCCTGGGTATGGTTCTGAGACACCAAATTTCACCTGATGCCACACACCTCATTGAGGTGCTTCAGTCTCTGGGTGTAGGAGATACCCAAGCCATTGCTTCAGACTGGAAAGATTTTGTCATTGATGTTCCCTGACTCTATTATTTCAGCTATAGTGTAGAGACAAGTACAATTCTGACATACTACACTAAAGAGTATCCAGCCTGAAATTTAAATTTCAGATTTGGGGCCAGCCAGATGACGACTCTTTGGGTAAAAGTGACTGTGCCAAGCCTGATAACCTGGGTTAGAGCCTGTGGGGCGGAAGGGGAGGACGGACTTGTGCAAACTGTCCTGGGACCTCTACTTGAACACTGCAGCAGCACATGCTTGTGCACGCATACACAGTAAGAACCTTTTTTAATCTTAGATTTTGCTTCTTTAGAGAGAAGTCTGATGACCTCACTGTCAATCAGAGATCATTTCTGGGGTCATTCATCCCCCAAAATGCCACACTTTGATCTCTGGGATAGTGCAGGGGATGGTGAAGATAACTCCCCAGGGTTTGTGAGTTCTACTGAAATCTGTGTAACTTACAGCCTCAAAATGGAGCCAGATGGAGTTATTTCTAGAAGTTTTGAAATCAAAAAGAGACATGACCCAGTTTGAGGGACTAGAGAATGCCTTGTGATTAACAAAAAAGCCTTGTATACACTGAGGGTGGGTCCTAGGCTAGAACAAGCTAGAGGGTGTTTGTTTGTTTGTTTGTTTGTTTGTTTGTTTGTGTTTTAGTTCTTTGGTTACAAGGTATCTGCTGTGTGGCTGTCATTTATAACCAAAGAACTCAACCATGGCATGAGGGTAAGCTGGGTGGATTCCTAGGAGGTAGGCTGCTTCAGAGGTAGGCTGCTCTTGGCTCAAGGCCGTTTCCACTGCAAGGGCAGTTCACCCTAAAAATACTTGTAAGAGCACATTCACACACTAAAGTGAGCAACAGCAAGACCTTTAACTGCCAGTAAGGTTTTTATGAGTCTCCTCTGAACTCTGTTGTTTCCTGTGATACCACCATCAGGACTCCCTAGAGTCATGTAGTCATCTAGGGTTTCCATATTCTCTAGTATTTCTTTGGCTGTCAAAGTGCTAGGCCTGGTCACTCTGCCTTAGTTACACTGCACCTCCAAGAAAGTTTGGGAGACGGACTTTTCAGGAAAGCCCCGTTAGATGCACTCTTCCAGTCTTAAGAAGATTCACAGTGAGGTGGAGGAAATAGCTGTGAGCCTTCTTTTTGAACAATGAGAGACTGGTTTTTCCCTTAAAACTTGATGCTGTCATGTTTTATGACTCCAAACTTTTTTTTTTTTTTTTTTTTTTTGGAAATAAGTTTTCACTGTATATCCTTGGCTGGCCTGGAACTCACAGAGATCCATCTGCCTTGGCTTTCTGAGAGTTGGGATTAAAGGCATGAACCATCACACCCAGCCAATTCTGAGCTTTTTAAAGCTGTTGGTGTTTTAAAACCTAACTATTCAATTCAAAATTCGAAGATATCCTGAGTTGGCAGATTTTCTCCTGGGTTCTTGACTCAAAGCCTGCTACTTGACAGGAGTAGTTTGCATGGGGCAGGCATGCTCTTCTTGTCCCATTGTGGATAAGGGAGTTCTTGCCTTGCTACCCCATATGTAATGTAATCTAGCATTGAAGGCATCGGGCCCTGGGTCTCTAGGTAGATAGATGCCTTTTGCAGTCTGTACATGACTTGGTTTGCATGAATCCAGTGTCTATTCCTTCAGATCACTTGAGTACAGTGAAAGCAGTGCCATTTTCAAATCAGTCCGTGCAATACCAGGAATGGTCACTGCTTGCCTTACTTACCTTCCATCTCTCTGTGCTAAAGGACACTTTGCTCTGCTGCCTAGCCAGTGGAGAAGCAACAACATCAGGTAGTTTTGGGGAGGGGAGGAAGTGCACCTTAACTTTGTCAAATGAGGCTGTAGACTGCCTGACAGATAAGAGGCAATAGCCTGTGCACTCTCAGGAGCCTCTTTAATTTCTTGGTGAGTTTTATTTTGAAAGTTAGTGGTTCCCTCCCCCTTCCCTGCAGTTCTCTCACAGAAGTTGTCACCTGGGCATCTCTGAGATAAATCTAATCTCAGTTCTCTTTCCTGAGAAACTAGGGTTGTATCCATAGCCACTGTGAGGGAGCAGGTGGTCTTCATCCACTGCTGGATTCTGTATCAACACTTAACTGCATGCAGGAGAGTTCCAGTGTGAGGAAACGTTGATTCTCTTCAAACTCCCATTCTTCAAATAGCATTTAAAAAGCCAACCTGTCCCAAACAGGATTCAACTTAAATTTTGAGTAGAATCCATATGTTCACACTATTAGAAAAGGAAATAAAAGCAAGGGTGGAAAGCTTCCTGAAAATTATCATCGTCAACTGATTAAAGTGAAGCACTGCTTTAAAATCAGTTACAGGATTCAGAAAACAGTAGTTTTGTATGGTGTCTTTTAATGAAACGCTCAGCACCCCGTGTGTTCTCTACAGTATTAATTCTCACTAAGTGACTAGTTTCTAATAAACCAGCTTCATAGCCCCCTCTTCTGTGCTGTGTGCTTAGTTCAAGCAGGAATGATATTAGAGGGCAATGTATGGCAGAAATTCCTGTCTGGTAAGGTATTCATCAGAGGGAGAGGGCCCAGGTCGGGAGGGGCTGGCCAATAGTTAGTATCCCTGGTGGGTTGGGACATTCTGGTGGTATGTCTTTTTTGAGCCCATAATGAAATCTATTTTGTCCCCCACCCCCACCCCCACCCACCCTTCCTCTGGCTTCTTCTTGCTTAGTTACATATGCCTTTTTCCTACCCTCTTGCTAACATGTGCCCAATGACATACTTCTAACCTGCTAATATTTCTTGGAAGGTAAGCTCTCTTGCATTCTGATAATTGTCTATTTGATTTTAAATGCCAGAGCACCCAGAGGCACCCCTACCTACATCACCACATGTGCTAGTACATTGGAGTGTGCTAGTATTTCTGCTTAAAGAACTTAATGGCGATTCACTAAACAGAGATCTTTGCTAACTTGGGACACTAAAAACAAAATTCTAGGGCCACTCCAGCCAACTTGATGTCCTCTGATATGACTCAGAAAGTACCCTCCATATTTGCATCAGGCACCAAGTGCTCTGTGAGTACGGCTGTGGTGTGCCAGCAAGTAAGCATGCATTCCCTGACAGCTGAACTCTGCCTGTCAGAGGGTCTGTCTTTCCACACGTGGAGCACATGCCAGATGCCGAGTTAAGTTCATCCCCGGGCAGTGGTTCTCCAGAGCCCCAGACTGTCTGGTGTGTGTAGAGAGGAATGACTGAGCTGGTTTCCATTTGGCACTGAGCCAGGTAGAGCAGGCGTCTGTGCCTGGCCTCCAAGTAGGAGTGTTGCCTAGTTGCCCTGAGTGTCCGTGTGCCTAACATTTTCACCTTTCCTGCTCATCTGTGTCTATCATGATCCAAAGTGTGAGATAGTGGTTGTGTCTTCAGTCTGTGTGCATTTACCTTGCTTGACTTTTTATTTTTTATTTTTTTTGTTTTTCCATTTTCAACATCTATCATTTGGTTCCACAATGTATCTGCCTCGGTTGACCATTAAATGTTCCCAAAAACTCTAACCCAGCCTCCACATTAATTCTAAATTTTATGCTTTTCTAGGTCTCCAGAGAGAGCCCAGTCCTTGTCCTGTAATTACTGTAGAGCACTTTAAAGAACCCGTGGGTGCCAAAGGCCTCGCCCTCTATCCAGATTCCTGCAGAGTTCCTGGAACAAAGGCCCAGAACACCTTAGAGTCTGATTCCCTGGCCCGAGAGGGCCCTTCCAGCAATAGCTCCTTCCATAGCAGCGAGGAGGAGGGCACCGACCTGGAGGGGGACATGTTGGACTGCAGCGGGTCTCGGCCTCTCCTTCTGGAGTCTGAAGAGGAGGATGAGAGCTGCAGGCCTCCCCAGGGGAAGCTGGGAGAAGCCACTCTGTTCTCCGAGTCTGGAGTGTCTGCTGAGCCAGAAAAGGGGGGACAAGGCGGGAAAAAGAGCCAGTTCTTCCCAGTCAACCAGCAGGCCTCAGACGGTCTCGGAGAGCCGGATGTCTTTGCCACAGCACCCTTCAGGAGCTCGCTGGTTCCAGCAGATGCCATGGACATTTTCTCCAAAGCCCCTTTTGTCTCCAAGGGCAGTGTAGCTCCTTCCCAGACAGAGGAGATGGACGTGTTCTCCAGAGCTCCTTTCACCAAGAAGAGGAGCGTGGAGGAGTTACTGGCCGTGCAGGGCTCCTCACAGGATTTGCCGATGCAGGCCGGCCTCGGTCAGCCTGGTGAAGGGCCCCTGCTTCCAGGCCGCGATAGAGCCATGTACACCCCTGCCCAGGCGCAGTATCCTGTGACTGGCTTTGCACAGCAGGCCGGTCTCCCCTCCCACACTGTCCAGGTGGCAGACCATTTTGACGGCAGCTCTCCCCGGGGATCTCCCATGGAATCTGGGAGTCATCCTAGTGACAGAAACAGAGGACTGCAGCCCCAGAAAGAAGCCTTTTCTGGGCCGGTGGCTGGCAAGCCATTCCGCCCCCAGGCTTTATCCAAATATTCCCGACACTATAGCCCAGAAGATGAGCCAAGTCCAGAAGCCCAGCCCATCGCTGCCTACAAGATTGTCTCACAAAGCAATAAGCAGCTGCTAGCTGGCTCTGTGTCTGTCACATCTCTGTCCTCCAGGACTACAGAGCTGCCCGCCGCCGCCGCCGCCGCCGCCGCCGCCGATCCTTTTGCTTTAGCGCCCTTTCCTTCAAAGGCAGGCAAACAGAAACCCTAGGAGCAGAGAGCAGCCTGAGGCCTGCCTCCACCCACCCCACCAGCACCCATCACACCACTCCTGGCTGGCCTTTCAGGGACTATCCACTGTGACCCTGCAGTCACTGCCTCAGAGCAGAATCGCTTCCAGGCAACCAGTGGAGTTGCTGTGAGACTCGGCAGAAGCTCTTTATGTTACACTTTCTGCTTTTGCTTATGCTCATTTCTGGGTGCCTTCCACCTGCACCCAGAACCCTTTTTAATCCAGGAATATTTTACCCCCAGTTCACAGGGGCTGTATTGCACCACAGCTTGGAATGCCTGCAGCTCCTGTTGGGAGTCACTTGAACCCAAGAGTCAGGATGAATCCCTCCAGGACTCTACAGGACTCCTGGAACAGAGAGATTTCCGGATAAAAAGAGCAATATCAGTCTCCTGCACATCTGAAGAGTTAATCCTTCAGCCTCTCATCATTCCTTCCTGTGGAGCCAGCAGCTCTGAAAGGATTCTGGGATCTGTCACTGAGTCTGTACGAGCCAAGCTGGCCCTTGTGCACAAGAGTCTGGGTGCATGGTGTGGGTCAGATTCTCTGTCGTGTAAAAGAGCACACAGGTGGGAAAAGCTCACTTTGCCCTCCCATAGTCTCCTTTTTAGACTAGTATGGATACATGCGTGTGCATGCGTACAAGAAACCTTTTTCCTCCGAGGGAAACCACCATGCCTACCTCCGTTATCAAATCATTTTCTTGTGTTTGCCTGTTGACCTGACTTGATTTTTTTTCTCATGGTAAAATTGAAGTTGTTGGACTGTATGGGGGTAATCCTGTTGGAACTGAGGTTTCAGAATGAGTTTTTAAAATTCCATTTACCTAGTTTTAAAAAATCAAAATTTCAAAACTGGACATGGTAGTTCATGTCTATAATCCAAGCTCTTGGAAAGCTGAAACAGGAAGTTTACCACAAGTTAGAGACTAGCCTGGGTTTAATACTGAATTCCAGGCTACCATATCTCCTCCAACCCAAAAAAGTCACTGGTAATTCTGTTTTCCCCTGGCAATAGGGGAAGAGCATCTTTAGTGTTCCAGTTGCTGGGAATCCTTCCAGGGTTCCATTGTATGAAATGAAATTATGAAATTCATTAATCAGGAGCCTAAGCCACAAGCCAGGTTTGCCTGTTTTTTCCCTCAAACTCTTACCCATACACCTCTGTTACCTCTTGAGTGGATACAAACCTGAAACCTAGAAGTAGGTTGGAAATGAAAAAGAGCTGGTCAGCTGTCCTTGCAGATCTGTAAATTATCTGTTCCGTTCAGATGGTCAAGTAGTACAGACAGGTGACTGGCTGGGTTTTCACAAGTGTGTTTTTATTTCTGGAAAGCACTGACTCATTTCGAGTGTTTTCATAGCCTTCATTTTTAGTGCCTTAAAAAAAAAAAAAACAACCTCACGACTCCATGGGGAGGTTTCAGTTGAGGAAGTTGAGTTTAATGGAAAGAGCGTGCACCAGACTCAGGGTGCATGCTTACAGCTGCTAGCATACACTTCCTCCACTTTCTTGGGAAAGTTTGGAGAGTTGTGCATCAAGCTACATTAGTGATAGGAAAATTACTAGAAGCCAGGCATGCTAGCACACTCCTGTAAGCAGGGCACTTAGGAGGTACAGGAAGAAGGGGTTCGAGGCCAGCCTAGACTATATGAGACACTGTCCCAAAAAATAAAAGAATTACTGAAAATGTATACAGTAATGAAGCTTAAATGCCAGACTGCACTTGCAATCAATTAGTTGTGATGTTCTTTAAATTTGCAAGTCAGGGTTTGGGTGCACAACTGAGTGGAAGAATACATGCTTTGCATGCACCCTGCCCTGGGTTCTGTCCTTGGCACACACAAAAATAAATAATAAAACCCAGGACTCTTGACAGCAACGTAAGAATGATTACTTTTGGCCTGGTATGGTGATAGGCACCTTGACTCCAGAACTTGTGAAGCAGAGACAGGTGGATCTCTATGAATTTGAGGCCAGCCTTGTCTACATAGCAAGTTCCAGGCCAACCAGTGAGTGAAAGCCTGTCTTAAGAGGGAGAAAGGAAGCTATTTTTCAGTACTTTTCTTTTTGGTATTCTCCACCTGTTTAAATAAAAGGCAGTATGCATCTCTCCGCCCCCCCCCCCAATCAGTGGTTGCCATATGAGGGCTCCACTCCATCAGAAACCTGCCTTTCACTCCAGTAAAGGCTAACTATTCTCTCTAGGAATTTGCTTTCTCATAGTTATTATTTTTGAATTTTTTGTATACTAGTGGATACAAACTGATTTTTCTATTAAATGAGTAGTTTGGCTAATGTACATGGAACTTGGCAACCAAACTTCCCATGCTTGTTGTCAGGTGAAGTCCTCCAAGGCATGTGCAAAAAGGATGGAAATGTTCAGAGACCTCACTTGATGTCACAAGCTCTTGCCAGGTTGTAGCATATACCTGTAGTCTCAGCTGCCTAGAAGACTTGAGGCAGAAGGACAGCTTGAGTCCAGGATCTCAAGGCCAGCTTTGGCAACATACAAGGACCCATTTCTTGAATAGAAATTTCAGAATGCAAGGTCAATGAGCTCCATAACAGTGCTACACACTGTTCTAACTTTGATTACTGTATCACTCCATCTAATCCGTCATTTTAATTCACAAGGTTTTAATTCATTTAATTCAAATTAGAGTAAAATCATGGACTCTTTATTTTATATAGTTGAATCATTTATGAAGTGTGGAGCTTTCGGGCCTTTTTTTCATCTACTGAGTGGAAAGTCTGTCTACCATCTTTGAATCGGGAATGAATGTGACCACATGCAGATTATTTTGGTTTTTTCTTATGTAGCAGTTTGTGAAGGAAATCTGACAAGAGATTAGCCAGCAGATGAGTTCTGAAGGAGATGCTGTGGAAGAGTCTGGATACAGGATCAGTGTGTACTTTATTTAATGTCCTGAGTGGAAATCTGGAAAAGTTTGTTTTACAGGGAATTAGGGGTGCTTAAAGTCTGTGAACCAATACCAAGTTCCTAGTGACCATACTCTAACAGTTAAGGAAGAGGAATCATTGTCAAATACTACACTTTGTTTTCATTTCTGCTTGTGCTGGCCACTTTGTATATTTTTCATAGGAAACAGGAAATTTTGAACTTTTGACTCAGAAAGAGATGAGTCAGAATGTCCTTAGACAAAGCCTTAAGCCGTATCATGTACTGGTGAACTCCTGAATGATGTGTGAGGCTAGCTGGGGACAGCTCAGAGATGGAGCCTGCCCACGTGAGGCCCTCGCTTCCTCCCCGTTAGCTGACTGATGAGCACTGTTAACAGAGTTAACTTATGTGTGATGGAAATTGTCTCTCCAGTTTTTTAAGCTTACAATACAGCTCTTTTGCACCAAACCCATGGTTAGCGCCAAAACAAAATGAAATAGTGAAATGAACATCTGCGGCAGGTACACCTGTGATCCCAATACTTGGGAGGCTGAGGCAAAAGAATTGTGAATTCAAATCAAGACCAGCCTGAGAAGCTTAGCAAGATCTTAATATTAAAATTTAAAGAGGGTTGGTTATGTAGTTAGGTGGTAAAATGCTTGCGTAGCATGTGCAACCACTGGATTTAATTAACTCCAGTACTGGGAGACAGAGGGCACACAGATGGTTCCATCATGTGATGGTGAGCAGTCTAGCCATGAAAATGAACAGAAGTTGGTGCTGAAAGCAGATTTTAGTTCATACAGGCTGTTTTGTCTTGGCTCACTAATGGGGTTGAAGACCTATGTACTGGTGCATGCCCCAGTGTGTGTGTGTGTGTGTGTGTGTGTGTGTGTGTGTGTGTGTGTGTGTGTGTGTGTGTGTGTGTGTGTGTGTACATACATGTGCTAACTAACCCATGTTGTGTCTCAGTTTCATCTGGCAACTGAGATCTTTTAAATGTTCAAAAAAAAATGCTGTCTTTCTGGCCTGGTGTATATTTATTAAGTATTGGACCATGTGCTTGTCAGTGTTTTCAGTTGCTCTTCACTGGCGCATAAAGTGTTAGAGTGATCTGATGATAAGAAATCTGTATTTTTATTCTGTGGATGAAAAGAAAACAGGTATCAAATTGTATGATATGTGTACATTACTTCAAATAGGAAACTTAAGTGGGAAGTTGGGGAGCAGGAGATGCAGTGCCCTCTCCAGCAGGGCCGAGGCCACTTCCAGTGGAGTCCATTTGGGTCCCTCAAATGTTAAGAAATGTTGCTCCCTGCTGTGCCTTTCACATTCAGACTTTCGAGCACATCCCAGTCAACTCCAAAACAGCCGCTGGTCACAGCATTTTTATCAGAATCAAACTTCTTTTGATGAAAGGTAGTTTGCAGGAGGACAGCGGTAGAAGGCAGGAGCACCCAACCACTTTCCATGGCCACCGGTTTCCCAGCCGTCCAGTGCTTGCCTAAAAGAGTCAACACTGGGAATTGTAAGTGAAATCATGTCATTTGAGTGATAGCCTTTGTCAATCAATATTTGTTTTGGTCTAACCACCAGAACACTTGAAAATTTAATAGAAATTTCATTAAAGAAAAGTTTCAAAATGCTTAAAAATAAAAAGTAGTGTCTAGTTGTTTCTGTTCTGTCCCAGAGTTCTTTGTGTGCCCCCCCCATTCCTAATCCTCCTTAATTTCCTCCTTCAACATTCTCTTGTTTTGACCAGACCAATAAATGGGTGGTGAACTGTCATTCTAGCTTATGGTTGTTTCCCTTACTACTGTAAAATTTCATTTTAGGATTCAGGCCAGCCTTGACAATCTAACAATGAAATGATTCACCCTCCCCTAGAATCAAGGACAGAGGAGAGTTGGCAGGCCCTAGCTTTCCTCTGTGGAGATGGAACCAGAGAGCACTCTCCACCCTGATCCTACATGGCTCTAGAATGAGTATATATGTGAGAGGACTCTAGAATAGCAAAAATAACTTAAGTGCTGGCCATGGGGACACATGCCTGTAATGAGGCACCAGGTTCACTATGAATTGGAGGCCTGCTTGGGCTACATAGCAAGACCTTGTCTCAAAACACACACACACAAAAGGCTAAATATTACCTACATGTGTTTTAGGCCAAAATTTCTGTAACTTGTAAATCCATGTGTTTTCAGCTGTATTTCAGCAGCCTCTGACTTAGGCAAATGTTGCACAGTTCTGAGTTGATAGTAAACATTACCTGTGCTGCCTTGTGATGGAACCATGTGTCAGACCTCCAAGGGGGTCAGAATAGATTTCTCAGCATCAGTCAAGCATAGATCAGGGTTGGCTGATAGCACATGCTTAGACTGTGTGAGGACCGTGTCCAGTCTCCAGCACTTTCACTTTGAGGTAATGGGAGACAGGGAAATCGATTCCTTCAGAAATGGTGAGCCTGCTGTGTTCTGCGAGTCTCTACCAAAGATGCTTTGTAGGAAGAGTTTCTCAGCGTCTGTGCGCAAACATGCATCCTCCTGCGTCCTTTGTGGTGGTAACCCCAGCCCTTCCAGTTAATCATCTGAAGAGGACTTGGGAGGGACCACAGGCAGCTGGCACCAGTAACTCAGTTCCCTTTGCCAAAACCTCCGAATTTAGCATTGGAGTTGTTTGCCTCTGTGGTGAGGGAATTGACTAGCCATTGCTTCAGCCTCCTTCCCAAGTAAGTGCCTTCTTGTGGTTGGCACTGGGAGGACAATGGTGACCTGCATCACAGGGCCTGAAGATGTTATTTTGAATGGAACATTTGATGTCACCTTTAGGGAATAGAAACCAAATAGCAGAGGCCTAGGCCCGTTCCTATTGTGAGGAGGGAAGGTGAGCGCCCTCTGCTGGCAGTATTTGGAGTTGATTGAAGATCTGTAAGCAGCCTGGAAGCAGTGCTGAGGTCAGCAGGCCTCAGGAATCCTTAACATGCAAACAATCTTGGGGAAACCAGAAGGTCATTCTTAGCAGTTTTTGTAATACGTCTGATTGCAGGCTGTTAGATTATGTTGTTCACTCTGGGTGTGATCTGTCATATGTATCTGATAGTTATTATGGATAATTGTTTGGGTTGTAAACTCCTATACTCTATTAAAATGAACCTAATTAAGTGACTAAGTGGTGTGCTTTTTCTTAAGTGAGATCTTCTATGGATGAAAGGGCCCCAGGCACCTTTCAGCAGCACAGAGCCTGGGATAGATTCTAATATTCCTGAACAGAAGCCAGTGTTGGCACAGAGAAACCTACAGGAAACGAATCTGACATTCCAAGTTCCCTGTCATGAGGGAGAACCTGCCTGCATATTTCCAACTGTGAAGAAAACAACCAGGGTAGTATTTAACTAAACTTCCTGAACTTGACTTAACAGGATTCAAGAACTGGCGATATGCTGTGTTCAGAGACCGTGTTCACAATCCAGGGCCCCAGAGTTTTGGTATAATAAACATGAGTGAAGCCAAAGTTGGTAGACCAGGCTAGCCCCACACTCACAGAGATCTGCCTGCTTCTGCCTTCTGAGAGCAGGAATTAAAGCCATGTGCCACCATACCTGGCTAGTTTTATGATTTAAAGTTCTTAAGTGTTGCCAGGTGGTGGTGGTGGTGCACACCTTTATCTCCAGCACTCAAGAGGCAGAGGCAGGTGGATCTCTGTGGGTCAAGTCCAACATAGTACACAGAGCAAGTTGCAGGACAGTCAGGGCTACACAGAGAAACCTTGTCTTGAAAAAACCAAACGAAAAACCTCAGCTGTTTTGTGTTTCGAAATTGCAGTAGCAGTCACCAAAGCTGCTTGCTTTCTTACCTGAGACTGCAGGTGTTCTGGGGGAAGACAGACTCCCGCTGAGCTTTCTACCAAGTGGTGGGACAGGACTTTCAATGGGGGGAGTCAGGAAAATGCCACTAGCTGATGGCTAAAACCTATGACTCTAAACTTTTGTCTTTCCTTGAGTTCACCTTAGATTGGAGTAGTGAAATCCGGGCTGTAGTTAGAGTGTATCCTGGAGAAGGAGAGGAGCTATCTCCTTGGTGTGCTCTCAGATAAGCTTAGTCCAGAGGCAGTCCACAGTCTCCGCACACTGGACCAGTCTCTAGTGGACCACTCCTCAAGTCAGCTGCTGGGACCCATACTTCTACCTTAACAAGATTTAAATACAGATTTAACTTGGGATATTTGAATTTATTAAGTATAGGGAGTACATACAGGACATGGTTGTGCACGCCTTTAATCCCAGCACTGGGGAGGCAGAGGCCAGCCTGGTCTCCAGAACAGCCAAGGCTACACAGAGAATCCTACCTCAAACAACAAAAACAAAAACAAAAAGTATAGAGGGTATAGAAAGAACACAGTGGAAGAATGTAGAATTTTTTTTTAAATTTTGTTTGAGACAGGCTCTCACCCTGATTGGCCTCAAATTCATGGGTGATGTTCCTGCCTCAGTCTGCTTTGTACTGGAGTTAGGGATGCATGGTATCACATCATTGTAAAATTTGCAATGAACCAAAAGTTGACTAATAAGTCTCCATTGTATGTAGGAAAGAATATGTCTCAAAACAGTGATAATATCCAAACATGCATTCTATGGGCAAGTGATTAAGATTTAAATTGGCTTAATGAAGTTGCTTCATCATTTACCCACATATTAGTGTTCTAATCCTTAAAACCTGGGGATGTGGGGGCTAGATGGGAGGGGAAGAAAACTGGGAGGAGTAGAGGGAGGGGGAACTGTAATCAGGATATGTTATGTGGGGAGGGGCATCTATTTTCAGTAAAAGGGGGAAGTAAAAAGACAGCCTGTCCTCTCCCCCCCACCCCCACCCCCACCCCCGCTTCCCCGCCTTGGCTCACCCGCAGCACCGCCCTCCACCTGTAGAGGGCGCGCTTCCGTGGCCGCACTCTCTCCAAGGCCTGAGTCAGAGTAGGACTCGGAAAGGGAGGGGGCGTGTCCGCGCAAGCGCACTGACACTGAAATGATGGCGGCCGCGGAGCGGGCGTGGGGAGCAGTAGCTGATGTAGCGCGGCTGTGCAGGCGGTAGGTGTCGGCCCTGGGGCCAGCAGCTCCCTGTCGCCGCCCTCTCACGTGGAGGGGACTGGTGTCTGATGGAGTCTTGTCCTGGCTCCAGAGCCCGAGGCCCGGCCACCTTCTCGAACGTCCCTTCCCCTTGTAAACCCCGTGGGGATGTGGCTCGGAAGGGAAGAACATTCCCGGGTAGTTCCCTTCCCGATCCCGGGAGACACATCCAAGGTCAGGCTCTGAGGGAAGCGACTGGAGGAAACCCACGGCCCAGGCCTATGCCGACCGTGTCTCGTTCCTCTTCCAGAGCCACCCTGATTCTGACTTCCTCAGACATCTGTCAGTCCCAAGGGTGACTCCTGTAGAAAAGGGCCTAACTGTATGCTGATGGTTCCCTTGCAGTTTCAAATGCATTTCATGAGCCAGGTACGTGGGCCCACCCCTGTGTCATCCCAGCATGAGAGGTGAAGGCAGGAAGACCAGGAGTTCCAGGCTAGCCTGTATTATAGGAGGCCACTGGCTTAAAACTCCTTAATGCGTCTCATAAAAATAGAGGATTAACAAAAGGATTTTGTGGGTTGCCCCCTTCTCCCCTGTTTTCGATTACCTTTTTTGTTTGTTTGTTTGTTTGTTTTTCGAGACAGGGTTTCTCTGTATAACAGTCCTGGAACTCGCTTCGTAGACCAGGCTGCCCTCGAACTCACTGAAATCTGAGTGCTGGGATGAGAGTGTGCGCCACCGCCACCACCACCGCCGGCTGGATGACTTTTCTTGAATTACTTTCCTCCAGGTCTTTTAGAATTCAAACCTTCCTGCCAGAGTACACTTCTGATTTATCGGCTCTGCTGTTTTTTTTCGGGGTTGAAGGAACAGTACTGGAATGCCAGGGTGTTTCCAAATCCTGGAATATTCACTCCATTCACTTAATGGGTAGTTACTGGTTACTGCATAGTGATAAGAGCTGCCATTTGCTGAGCACTTACTGTGTGCATTGATAGGTGCTTTTGAGGGAGAATGATCTACAGTGCTCTACATGCCTTTTGTTTTGAGTGCGTTTATTAAATATACAGCAAAGAGTAAAAGCGTAAGACAGCAAGCAGCAAGAAGGCAGAGCGTCAGAGCAGACACACCATCCAGCAGAACAGACTGGGGAAGCCCCGGGAACCCGCAGTTACCTGGGGACTCTGGTGGACAGAGGAGGTCCAAGGCAGAGTATCTTCTCCTGGGTATGACTTGTAATTAGCCATTTCTATCATAGGCATTTTTATATCACATGATTAAACAGTAGCTGAGTCTTGTATTTTGGGAAGGTGCTTGGGAATGATTTACTTCCCAGCTCTGTTGAAGGGACAATGGTTTTACTCTGACAGTTTACTCTCCTGGTCTAAAGGGCATGATGTTTTTCTCGTGGGCTGTTTCACTCTTCTCCTGTTCTTTCCTTAACAAGGGGTCTTGGAGAACAATTTTAAGTAAACACTTCAGGCAGGTGGATGGATCTCTGTGTTCAAAGCCAGACTGGTCTACAAAGCAAATTCCAGGCAGCCAGGGATACACAGTGAGACCATGTCTCAAAATTTAAAAAACAAAACAAAACGAAAAAAACTGAAGTCAGAGCTGGAACATTTTTCACTACTAAAATGTCCTTTTATTTCCTTTTCTAGCAGTAGTTATTCTCAAAGCTCCCTCTGTTGTTACATTAATGATACTATGAAAATACCCAGTCAGTGTTTCTCAGAGAGATATGAAGTGCCACCCTGGATTCATGTTTCCCATCAAACATAGATTGGTGGTTGCCCTAGTAGTGTAGAGGTGATAGTTTGTGTTCTGTCAGACTTTAGACTTGGAAATGTCGGGATGAAAGTGAGTGTCCTTAATCTTTTTTTTTTTTTTTCCCCAGAGCTGAGGACCGAACCCAGGGCTTGTGCTTGCTAGGCAAGCGCTCTACCACGGAGCTAAATCCCCACCCCCAGGTGTCCTTAATCTTACCTCTTCCTCCAGGACAGTTCCTAACTTCAGATTTGGGGACATTTGTGTTTCATGAGGTACCATGGGGCCAGAACTCAAGTCTGAACACAGAATTCATTTGGTTTTCCGTGTGCACCTCACCCATAATGGAAACTGTATGCATCGGTGTTTTAGTGGATTTTGGCAGAACCCTTACATGAGGTCAGGTATGGGATGGGTTGAAGCTTAGAATACTTAAGATTTTTGTTCAGGGGTGCTGGCTCATCTCCCCACCCCCTGCCTCTTTCTTGCCAAAACTGGGATGCTCAAACCAAGGGCTTTGCCAGTGTTAGGCCAGCACCGTACAGCCGAGCTGCATCCTCAGGTTGCCTAGTTCTCTCCAGGTGACAGTGATGTAAGTCAGAAAGGGGAAGCTTTTCATTGTACGCATTGTTTCCCTTACCTGTTGTCAGCCACAGGACTCTGCTGCCTCAGTTTTAAACAAAGAAAAAAAAAAAAAAAAAAAAAACCATCGTGGGACTGAGGGTCTGGGGCTGCAGATTTAAATCCATTTGTCCATTTCTGTTTCTGATGCCTGGATGTTAGTGTGTATTTCTAGTTACCAATCCAATGGGGTTCCATGTGTTTTTGCCAGCATTTTTATTTTATACATATCAGTGTTTTCCCGCACATGTGTGCATGCCACGTGCATGCCTGATGCCTAAGAAGGTCAGAAGAGGGCTTTGGGTCCCTTGGAACTGGAGCTGCGGACAATTAAGACCTACCATACAGAAGCTGGAAACCAACCCAGACCTCTACAAGAGCACCAAGTGCACACAACTGCTGAACCATCTCTCCAGGCCCTTTACCTCTGTTTTTTAATTGTTTGTATTACTTGTCGAAGTAAAAAAAAAAAAAAAATGTTGCAGATAGAAAATGGGAAGTTAACTCTCTATTATTTTTATTGCTGGTTATGTTTATATATACAAGAGAAGTATAGATTGACTTTAAAAGGTCAGATTGCTTGCTGGGTGTGGCACTCATGTCTATGATTCCAGAAATAGGGAAGCAGAGGCAAGAATATCCCAGAAGTTCCTGAAGCCACCTGGCTACACAGTGATACCCTGTTTCAAAACAACAACAAAACAGATGAGACTC